GTGAAAGGGGGTGGGGTAGGGGTGAGGGTGGGGTAAACATATTAAATGTAAAAATAAGCTTTAATTTTTTATTTTTTTTTGGGAGGGGTGGTTGAGGGGCTGGTTTGAGGGTAGGGACAAAATAAATTGATTGTTTCAACAAAAAAGTAATTGCAATTTGAAGTTGAAAGAGAGTTTTGAAAAATTTTCCTTAAGTTTTGAAGGGAAGTCATTTTTCTTAAATTTGAGGAAAATGAGTTGATTTGAAAAACATTTTCCAAAACATTTAACCCAACCAAACATGAGAAATTCATACCAAACACACCCTAAATCATTTACTAGTGACAACAACAGAAGATCAAAAAGATCAAAAAAAATCAGTTGGTGAACATATTTTTTTCTCGACAAGAAGAGACAACACAAAAGCAGGTTTGTTATTCGTTGTTCTTACACTCTTCTTGTAGTTGCAACTTTCAGTGTGAAAAAGTGTACGCAATGTGTTCGATAAAATGTTTCAGTTAGATCTTATGGGTATATTATGTAAAAATGAAATTCCGAAAATGTGAGTATTTAATATTCTTAAGTACACAGCATAAATTTAATAAAGTTCACAAACATTTTCTAACAATGGTGCATGTGAAGTTACAACTTGAAGTTGTTGGAATATCAATGTAGAATGTCACTTTGAAGTTGTCGAAAATCAACAATATATTTAGTGTAATCTCATAAGTAGGATATGTGAAGAATAGCTAGTACGCAAATCTTACTCTTATCTAAAAAGGTAGAAAGGTTATTCCCAAAATTGAAGAAGCCATAGTTAATACTAAAAGAACATGATAAAGCATTCTTAAAAGAAACAATAACAAGCTTGATAATTGGTGGGATTGAAATGATAACCTTTGATTTTTGTGTCTTTGATGGGATGGAGAGGAGTTGCATGGCTATAATGAGTGTTACTTTTAGTTAAGGTAAGGTAAATATGATGGTAGAAAAATTCTAGTTGAGATTTATTAGATAGGTTGGGATATGTAAGAAATAAGAATAACATGTTGTTAGAATTATGTTTGTTTGTGCTATGTATGTGAAGTTCAAGTGTTCAACCATGTAGACTTGCAAAATCAATTGAATTGAAGTTGTCGAAAATCACTAATATCATATGCCCTCTGAAATTAGCCTAGTTTTGAAAGTGACTTTAGAGTTTTGTTGTTGTGAACTAATAAGAGTTTTTGTATATTATTCTACGTGAATTTGGCCACGCTACGCGCGGTTTTAAAATATTTTATAACAAATTTATTCAAATATTTCTAATAAAATTTTACTTTATTTGACAATATTTATTATAAAAATTGTATTTTGTTTCTACAAATTTACAAAACGTTATTTCCTTTGATTTCTATTTTTACATAATCATTGTAACTTTTATTTTATCTTTTAAATATTTGATTATATTATTATCTCTTATGCACTTATTATTTGACTTTATCCTTACAAATTTTTTCGAATATATACATATTTTTGTACTTTTTCCTATTTTAGAAGGTTATGAATATTACACCTTGCAAATATAGAAAGGATGAATGTCACACCCTGCAAAAATGATAAAGTATAATTTTTTAAAGTTTTTATAATATAAACAAAAAGAACAAATAAACACTTTCTTAATTGTATCAAATAAATTTCAGATTTATTTAATTTTATATAGTTACTTGTTTAATTATTAATTTTCTCAGTTTTATACACTCTAAGACAATTTCTACTACAATCTATTTGATCCTAATAGTTCATTTTCGATAAGTATAAAAAATAGTGGCATAATTTTTAATAACGTAAAATGAGTTATGGCCATATATATTTTTCGATACTTTTTATTGTTTCAATACACAAATAAATACAAGCAAATAAGAAACTTGGCAAATGTTTTCGTAAGCAATTTCAAAATAGAATTTTCACTGGTCCACCATGATAGTCATACATCTCTCATATTATTTTCTCACTATGTGTATCGTATAAAAATAATAATTAAAAAAAGAAGATGAAAGCGCTTACTGATCTGCAAAAGAAAAATCCCACATGAATGAAGCTAATCTTGCTTAATTAATAAATCTTCTCTCTTTATATATGTTGTCGCCGGTAACATTATATTTTCATATAATCTGCGGTGAAAAAGTAAATAGACAATTGGAAGAAAAAAATAATTTACGATGAATCGATTATATGAGTAATTACAATCAATAATGAAAAACTAATATATAACTTTGTGGTCTTGGTAACATTACATATCTATGTGATCGTGATCTGCAATAAGAAATTTAAACGACAATAACTATTTTTTTATTCATGAAGAAAAAATTATTATGTAATTACAATTTATCAATCTTATCAACAATGAAAAATCACTATATATTTTTTTTAGAACACCAACCAAAAGCATGATTAAACAACTACTT